AGCTTAATATTTAGTTAATAAACTAAATAATTAGGTGGGAGCTAAATATTTAGCTAAATATTAAACATTTTGCTTGCTAACTAAATATTTTGTTTGAATTTGTGACTAAATATTTAAAATAATTTCTAAATGAACCCGGGGCCAACAAACTAATGTACTGAAATGAAATCTTGGATCTGGGTCATCACACCTGGTCGTGGCTGATGTGGAGATTTTTCATTCTACTGCGCAGAACGGCTCATATCCAGTTAAATGTGCCATTTGGTTGAATTGGAGATTAAATATCTTGTGGTTTGAAGGTTTAAAACAAACAATGCCATCCTGTCTGCGACATGCATCCGGCTGCGGCTTAAGAAGCCACAAAATAAACATCTGAGTGGCTTAAATTAGTTGAAAAGCAGCTTGTTTAGTTTTTTTTATGAAACAGCTGATGAAGATCCAGCATTTTGCTAACAAGTAGGTGGAGAAAATAAAGCCTGATTGTCAGAGAGAAAACACAGAGCTGGTGCCACTGCAGAAAAGAGACCCACGGTAGCAGATCTCATTTACATCCTTATCACAACCACTCAGGTATAGATTACCTGTTGGAGGTGTGTGTGTGTGTGTGTATGAACCTTATCTGGTGCCGTCATACTGTCTCTCTGCAGCATGACTGCACTCAGGTTACATTGAATACCCTCTAAATCCAATCACACACCTTGGAGGACAATAAACAATACTGGTGATGCAGTGTGGAACCCAAACCCTGGCAGCTGACTTCATCACAGGTGGCATCGGTCCGGGGGCGGTCCCGGCAGGCGTTCGGGCTGCACCGGGTCCGCCGCCTGCAGGAAGAGCATCAGAAAAGATTCGGAAAGTACCAAAAGTATTCAAGCACCTCTGAAGCTCTGAAGCATTAAAAAAGTTGAAAATAAAAAAATAAAACAACCCCAACACAAACAAAAAGTTTTCTTTTTTTAAATTAAAAACATTAAAGTACATCAAAACACATAGATTTGCCCTCAATAATTAGAACAAAATTGTGAAAGTCCATCTCATTTTGCATTTCCATTGCAAATGTGAACAAAACTTTGACGACATTGCTCTAATGTCTAAGAAACATCAAACTTATAAGGTCAGCAGCCTGTTACCTAGCAACCCCAGCAGAACCCAGACAGTTACCTAGCAACCTAAGCTGAGCTCCAGCAGGTTTGGTCAACTGGTTTAAAAGCTTTATGTGCAGTACAATGGCTGCTGGAAAAGACAAGAGTTGTCACTGCAAAATAATACCTTAACATTGGTTTTAAAAAGTTCCTCTGGCAGATTATTTTACTTACAACAAGACATTTTTCCCATTATATAAGGGAAATAATCTGCCAGTGGAATTGACTTAAAACAAGCTTATTTGTCTTGCTGAAAAGTTAGTTTTGTCTTATTTCAATTTGCACTGGAAACACTTTGAAAGTGTTGTGTTTTTGCAGTGCTGCTGCTGACTTACCATCCAGAAACCACTTGCTATATTATTGTTGGTTGTGCAGGAGGCTCCACTTCTGCTTTTCAAAGATGTATGGCTGTATAATTACACATCTGTTTGCAGCCATTTTCACGTGTGAGTGTAAACGTTGAGTTGGGGGCGCACGGCCAGCACCAGCTAATTTGGATTTAAAGTGACAGAGGCCCTAAAACGGATCATTCTGAAAGGAGCTGGACCTGATCAGAATAAAATCTCAGGAAGAACAACACCTTTAATGTTATTTTCTTTTTGTGTTTGATTTTAAAACGTTTCAGGTTCCTTACATATGAATTTTTCCATAACATAAGTAAGCTTACCTTGCCCTTTTTTCTATATATTATTATAAAAAAATAAATCTATGCTGTTTACAATAATCCAGCATCTCCATTTTTTAAAATAATGTGAAACAAATCAGTGTTGGTGTATAATTTCTGCCTCAGAGACATAAACATTCATTGTCCGGTAGTTGCAACATATCTTGTAGCTTGCAGAGGTTAAAGCTCCAGCAGGATATTTGCCTCTGCATGTACCTGAGAGAGGCTCCGCCCCCTGACACCCAAACAAACCCGGGGGTTCTGTCTCATGCCCTGCAGCTGAGAGGCGCTACCACAGGACAATAAAGGTCAAAGGTCAGGATGGAAGGGGGGTTCCAGCTCTGTTTAGGATGCTAATAATATGCAGGGTTGTCGTTGCAATAATCAGACGGCTGCTGTGACCTGCTGCTCCTTTATTCACACCGAGTTTCACAGCTAAGAGTCTGAGCACCAACCTCTGCTGGTTTATGGAGCCGCTCTCCATAAACCAGTTTGATCTCTGACTGTGTTTCTCATCATTATTACGTAACAGTAAACCTCAGTCATAATCTCTAAATATGTGGTGTTTAAGTCTATTTTGAGCATCAGTTAGTGGGTTAATTATTACACATTTCCAAGAGATTTTCATGGTTCAGCCATTCCTGTTCGCTGAAAGGTCAGTAACCAATGAGAGGTCTCATTTCACAGGCTGCTGTTGGAGGAGATTTTAATAAAATAATAATTATGAGGGAGAAAGAACAAAGCATTTTTTGTTTGACTTTTTAATGTTTTTATTTATTTATAGATTTTATTTGTATTAATTATTTTTTATCTTTTATCTTATTTCATTTTATTTTTAGTAATAAATTTTTAATTTTATTTGTACTTATTTATTTACTTTACAAAGCTATTTTTTTATTATGGTTTACACTTTAGATGCTATATGTACTCTCTCTTTTTATCTATTCATTTTTTATTTAATTTTATTTTCAGTAATTAATGTTTTATTTTATTATTTACTTATTGATTTTATTTAGTATATACCAAAGCAATTTTTAAATGATAACTTAGGCACGAAATGCTACAAACTCTGTCTTACTTTACCTGACAGTTGCATAACCATGGCAACAAGGTGCATTTTTTACACCTGGGGGCAGCTGACTAACATAACTATAGCTCAGATAAAACCTGAACTATGACTCTAAATCCAGGAGAAGTTGAAAAGGTTTTCTAACCAAACCAGACAGAGATTTAAAGAGGAGCAGCAAAAGCAAAGGAGATGGATAAGCAATGCTAGCAACAACCTGACATACTGTGAAATACTGTCTCTGTTGACAATCATGAGATTGTAACATATAAACATCAGTCTTCAGTCAGAGGCTTCTTCAGGTTTGTTGCGATACTGACTGCTACTGGAGATCCTTGTGTATAATGTGAGTTATGACAACATTTATTTTCCCTTTGGGGAATTTAAATTTAAAACCTCTCAGAATCAGTTTCAAATATTAACTTTTAAGACAGAACATAATAATTTAAGAATAAACACGTTTGCAAAGCTGCATCTAAATGATGAAGCACAAAACTTATGGATTAATCTGTATTTATTCTGTACAAATAATGATGTAAAATCCACATTCAGAACTGAAAATGACCAAAACATAGATTCATTTGAATCTTACTGTCAAAAAAGTGTTGGAATATATTTGCATAAATCATTAACCAATACAAATCAACACAAGAAGAGCTGATAACACTTTCAGTGAAGTGTTTACTGAGCCTGGCTCATCCTCTCCTCACACAAACTTTACAGCTGCTGAAAATGTGTGTAAAACTGAGAGGAAATTAGGTTGGTGGAAGAAAGGAGGGGTTTGTTTTCACTGGGGTGTGGGTGGTGTGTGTGCAGGGCTGTGATGAGGAAATACCCCACAACTTTACTCTGCTAGAGAAAAGGAGGAGGGGGAAGATTCATCACGAGATTAATAAAAGATTAATTTATTGGCTGCTGACGTACAAAATTATGAAAATCAAACATTTTCAACCAGTTTTTGTTAAAATTGTCTGTGAGAGTGAGAGAAAGGAAAGGAGAGACAGCAGCATCCTGCGTCGGAGCATGTCAGCACTTGTTATGAAGGAGAACCGGAAGTTAGATCACATCACTTCACAGTAAAAGCATCTGCACTTAGACAATAGCATGAAACTTTGTTGCTGAGTAATAAATAAATTGGCCTAATTCTCTCCTCATAGTTTTTCTTCTTGAATATAGATGAAATTTTGCTTTTATGAGACTTTTCGCAATTTTTTAACGCTTTAATCCTTATCTTTTTGGTTTACAAAATTTTGCATAGCAAAAATGTGAAAATGTATGTTTAAAAACAGGAACGGAGTGTTCATACATTTTCTGTCATTTCTATTCAGCCTTTAATAACTGGAACTTACAGTGTACTATTAGTACATGCTGTAAAAAGTGTTTTATTGCAATTAATTCAAACTTCAATGTCTTTTTACACACCACTCTCTTAGAATACACATTCTAATTAATTAAGAAATTTAAAAAAATATTGGTTTGGGCATAAGTGAAGACTTACAATCAGTTATTCAAAGTAAATTCACAGGTTAAACATATAATTAATTACTTATGATGCCAAACTCTACATGTTTAGAAGTAATCAAACAGCAATAAATTGATTAATGGATTTTTTTAAAATACATATTTAAACGAAACAACATAAACAAATAAATAAATAAATATCCTCATTATAGAATTGCAACCGATCTTGGTCAAAAGTAGGCGTAATAAAAGGAAAACATAAATAAATATACAAATCACTTTAATTTCAATTTATATTCAAACGCATAAAGAACAAAAATGAGGAAAAAAATCCCCAGTAGAAATCAGAGTGAAACATAAAAAAAGAAAGAAGGGGGAGAAAAAAAATCTATATCGTCCTTAACATGTTTGAAATTGAGTGATAAATAAATAAACTTATTCAACTGTAATAATTCATTTAGGATTAAACATTATATTTAAGACCAGTTTAATCTATTTTTAAAATAGATGATTAGCACTAACTACTTAAAATAAATTTAAAATCAGCAGATAAGTCAATATAAATAAATAAAGTGAGGTATTTAGTTATTATATGTGGTCTGTTTCGCTTCAGTTAGCCCCTGCTAGCTAGCATCGGCTACTACCTAGTAGACGAAAGCGTTTTATTTTGATAGGGTGAAAGTGGAAGCAGTTCGCGGCGCCGCCGTTGTTTTCTATTTTGACTGTAGCCATAAAGTGGTGGAGCAGCAGACCCAAAGATCAGACCGATCTCAGCGCTGAACGCACCGGTATCTCTCCGCGTCTGGATGGGCCAACCGACCTCGAAACACCCGCCATCCCGGAGCTCCTGACACGGAATGACGGCTCGGTTTCCCGCCAGCAGCCTGGACTCTACTTCCATGTTGTGATCTGAATCCTGGACTGGATCTTCTGGAACATTCAGTTCTCTCGAATGTCCACCTTTTCCGCACCGCAACATCCGCAGACCGCATCAACACGGATCCCGTTCAGCAAGTAAGTAGACGGATGGAGGCTGAAGTTGAGACTCTGACAGCGCAATGTTGCGTCATCTCTGCAGCCGTTCGAAGAAAAAGCGCCGTCAGCTTAATCTGATTTAATATTAATCTAATTCTTCTTCTGAATAATCAATCTGGAGATCCAGATATTAAGATCAGGTTTGCTGCTGGTCAGTGCGCTGATGATGCCGTCGCTTTGTCAGACATGCCCAGACATGTCGGGTCAGGAAAGGGACAAAAACTTCTAAATATGCGCCGTTCAAAATAAATATTTGCAATTAAACTGCACGTGAAAGTAGTAAATATACATATACAATAATCAAATAAAATGTCATTTTGAAAAATGTTGTTTTTTAAATAAACTGTTTTAGTAAACAAAACATAAATTTTATATTTCATAGCAGTTTTTTCAGCTTCAGAAATAATAAAAAATATTAATTTATGAGTTTTTCCCCTTTAATCAACCTGTGCGTGCACCCTCGTGCACGGATTTGTTTACAAACACAGGTCTCGTGCTCAGGCATACGGCGCATCTGCTGCCACCTGGCGGCGAACTGTTGAATTGACGTTAGCAGGTGAAACTGAAGGGAAAATGAATCTAAAAATAGACAAGTGAGTTTAACTCTCACTTATAACATATTTATGATTCAGTTTTGTTTTTAATCATAGTATTAATTTATTTTACAATTTTAACTAACAATTAGGTTTTTTAATATTTTTTTACTTTCTAATTAACGTTCAGCTTATTTTCATTTCAGTTTGTTAGCTTAATGTTTTTCTACTTATATTTTAGCTCTGTATTTTGTTTATTTTTCTCAATTTAATTAATTTATGGACATTGTCAGCTAAATTAGCCTTTGGCTAAATGCCCCGTTGAACTTATATTTCATTATTTGTGCATTTTGCATGTTATATACCAGATATATGCTGTTTATTAACTGCAGATGTGCTTAATACTTTTATTCATAGAAAAAAGATTTGTCAAGTAAGTTATTAGTGTAAAATAAAAAAATCAGTTGGTCTGATAAGCTATTCTAAAAGAACTCTCTGGGTCTAACGATAGGCTTTGAAAGGAAATTTTGTTTTGCTGAAACTTCATAATCCATTTTATTTATTGTTTTGTTTGTTTATTTAAAATATTATCCAGTTACCAGTGTTAAGTGTACCTTAGAAATTAAAGTTTTTATTGCTTTTTGAGAAGATATGCTTGCATTATTATGCTTTTATCATTATATTAGTTCAAAATGATCTGAAAACAATAATATTTGCATGTGTCAGTAATTTCTGTGACAATTTATTGGTCAGCAAAATTTGTTATGGTGACAAGCCAATTCTACACAACCAGAGTAGACCAGATAAATATCAACCTGAGTCATCAGTTAGTGTTAGCAGCTGGTGTAAAATGTGCATTTTTGTCTTTTCTGGACCTTTTAGGCTCCCGTTGAGATGGCCCGAGCAGAAACCATCGAGACTGTCGGAGAAAATGGAGGCGGACGAAACGGCCCGCTGTCTCTGCACAATACCTGCTGCATGGAGCTACCCCAACCACTCCACACCCGGCCAGGCCCGCGGACTGAACCCAGTGTCCACAACACCTCCCCCCACAGGGAACCACTACCGGGCCTCTACCTGCCAAACCAGCTGCCTTACTCCCACCCAGAGGGCCACCAGCAGCCACCGGCGTTATCGCAGACTTCTTCCTGTCGTCTGGAAACCGGCCGGAGAACAGCTAGTCGTGATTCATCGCAAGAAGAACCGGGTAAGAAACTGGTAATTACTCCAAACAACAAAAACCACGTCTGTCAGGTTTGTTTAGGCTAGAAAAGTGTTTAAAAAAGAGATGGTCAGAACTCAATAAATCACTAACTATGTATATCGCCATAGAAATATGATCAATATCAATTGATAATACATCAGATAGAACAGGTGTAGGCAGAGGAAAGACATTAGCTGCTCAACTTCTCACCGCTAGCTAAGCTAGGTTGGTGGAATCAGCTAAGTCACTCGCTCTTTGGTTGCCTAGCAACAACCTGCTGAGTAACTTACAGCAGCAGTTTAAGGTTTTGCCTCATAACTGCTTAAAAATACAAAATCGACGATATGGAGTGAAAACTGGATAAAACAGGAAACATCACACCACCAGTTTGGCTGTATTTCAAATATTTGAAACAAAAAAACTAATCAATAATGATCATTCAACTGAAACGAACACTATATTGTGTTCCAATTTTCAGCCATATTGTCCAGCCCTAAACAGAACCGAAACCAATAATGGTAATTACATCTGTAATAAGCTGTTGTCATATCTGAAGTATGTGGATTGGCTTTGACAAACAGGAAAGGCAGGAAAGTGAAACTGGTTTCAAAGCATGCTGTTTATGCTTGAAAGTGGGGATGTGTAGAGTAGTTACGAGCAGTCAGTAGTAGTAGGTATGTTGATATGACTTAAAGTTTTATGATGATATTTTCTGGTTCTATTATAATTAGGCTTGTTGCAATAAGCAATAAATCAATTAATCGCATGATAAATTAAAACAAACTCAATAATTTCCATTTGCACGATTGGTTGTTTTCTCTTTTTTCTCTTTCTACCAAAAAGTGGACGATAAAAGTCTTCAGTCTGGTGTTTTTATCTCAACTAGCTCTTGTTTTGAAGGACAATCTTGTTTACTGAGACTCCATAATTAATTTTATTGGTTGTTTCTGTTGTTTTATTTGTTTGGGATGTTTAAAATGTCTTCCATTTAAATGTTTTAAATGTTCATTAGAATCTAAAGTTTATTGATCTTTGAGAATGTGCTCTTGCTTTATTATTATCATCACATTATTACCAATATATTACTTGGAAATGGTCTCAAAACAACAATATTTTCGTTTGTCGCAGTAACTCCTAGGGCAATTTATTGTCCAGGAAAATTTGTTATTCTGACAGCCCTAATTATGATAACGATAAAAGTGATAAGAACTAATTATTAAATTTTTTTAAAGATAACTGTATGGCTGTGACTGCATGACACATCATTCATAGTCCCATAAACACAAATAATGGTCTTGAAAAACACTCCCAATTGTAATACACTTCACAGTGATAGTGGCTGCATTTCATTAGAAATGTGCACAAAATGTTGACGATATACTACGAATGTTGCAAAAACTAAATTTTCCAACTGCGGTGATTCTATTGAATAAGAAATGCAATTATAATCACTTGTGAATAAGATTTTTTTTATGTGATAAGTAATTAAAAAGATCCTGCCCCATCATTCTCATACCACTTCCTGTCGCCTTCTTCTTCGTGGTTTCCGCCAGTAGTAACATCCTGTTGTTCATCATGTGACTCGTGTTTCCATTACAGTTTTGCAGAATAAGCCGTTTCAAAACCACTTCCTTCTAACGCTAAAACTTTCGTGACCAGTGAGTTTTTTCTAAACTGGTTTCCATTAAGCAAATTTATTTTCAAAATGTGAAACTGCACAATTATGTGGTCAATGGAAACAAACTGTTCTGACACATCTCAGATTAATAGCTTTACTCCCTCCGTAAAAGTTAGTCTCTGAAGTAAAATCGCTGCAAATATTAACTACTCCACAGAAACCCAAACAACTCTCCCTTTAAGTGTGACCTTTGACCTCACAGCCGAGACTAAATGGCAATAAAAGGTGAACACTGTTATAAAACAGTGGGAAATATCAGGCGTGACTGAAGCAGAGGACAGTTTGACTTTTGGACCTCCACCCTAAAGTAAATATGAGTGTTATCAGTTAGCAGGACTGTATCGGTTATGTGGGAGTCGCACTCGAGGGTTTGTTTGGGTTGGATGATGATGATGATGATGATGATGATGATGAACTGTCTTGCAGTTAGTTGTCGGAGGACAAACAATCTTACCAGGTATTTTTTATTTGGTTTTCAGGGAAAATAAAACTTAAAAGTAACTTTTCACAAAAAAGGAGCTTATTCTGAGTCAATAATGCCATAATAGTGATTAAAAAGTACAAGTTTCACTGGCAGACTATTTCATTTAGAAAATGGGAAAAATTTGAAATAATCTACAAGTGTAGCAAGTACTTTTTCATTAATAATAAAGATTTATAGATTTGAAACAAGCTCCCACATCTTATTGAAGTTAGTTGTGTCTTTTTTAAAGTGTAATATATACCTGCACTTGAAATTAGATTAAAATACTTGGTAAGATTTTGTGGTTTTGCAGTGTACTGAAGTAATTAGTAGCATAAAAGACCCAGTGTTTTGAAGTGAACATTCATTTTAATAACAAAAGCTAAAATCTCAGAATCGGGTGGTGTGGTGGCGCAGGGGCAAAGCGCAGCCCACGTATTGAGGCCTTGGTCCTGGTGGCGGTGGTCGCGGGTTCGGTTCCCGGCCTGGTGACATTTGCCGCATGTCTTCCCCTTCTCTCGTTGTCCTATTTCCTGTTGAACTACTTTCAGATGAAGGCCACTAGAGCCAACAAAACCTTTAAAAAAATCTCAGAATCAAACACTTCATATAAACCTTTTTCCATTTTTAGGAACAAAATCTACACGCAAAATGTCTTTGGGCACAAAAATACAAAACACTGCAAAAACACAAAATCTAACCAACTGTTTTTGATTTTCGGTCTAGTTTCTATTGGAAATATCTTAGCACACCTGAAATAAGACTAAACTAATTTATCAGTTGCTTTTCAGCAAATAGGAGCTTCTTTTACTGAAAAAGTACTAGTTAAACTGGCAGATTATTTCACTTATAACATTTTTCTTATAAGTGAAATAATCTGCCAGTGCAAATAGAATGGCGTTGCTAGGTGACGGCCTAGGTTTAGCTGTGGTTGCTAGGTAACGACTCAGTGCCCATTGATTATGAAATAAGTTAAATAATCTTCCAGTGGAAGTAGAACTTTTTCCACCAATGTTAAGGAATTATTGACCTAAAACAAGCTCCTCTGTTGTTGAAAAGTTACTTGTTAGTTTTGTCTTATTTCAAGTGAGCCAAGATATTTGCACTACAAAGTAGATTAAAATACTTGGTAAGATTTTGTGTTTTTACAGTGCATGTGCAGAATGGACAGCCATTACGAAGCTACAGACCAGTTTGGTTTGCATGACAGCATGCGTCAGGCGTGAGGACTGATGTGTGCAGTTGGTAATTAAAATGTCAATAATCTGAAGGGAAACTCTTATTTGGCTGTGGTGGGAAAAGGACGGTTGGTGTCTGGTTGGCTCAGCGCCTTGGTGCAGGGAGAGATTTTTAACTATGTAAAGAGAGAGTGAGCACCGCCTCCCTCAGCTGTGGGTCAGCTGTGCAGAGAGGCATGTTCAGACTTGTCCTGTGCAACCTGACAGGAGTAAAGTAATCTGCTACACTTCCTTCAGCAAGTCAACTAGTCAGACTGCATTTCTCCAACCAATCAGGCTCAGAAAAGTTATCAGAGAATACAATAATGGAAGGTATTTTATAATTTGTGTTCAAATGTGTGAGTAAATCTAGTTTATTTTTTAATTATTTTTTAATGTCAAAGATTTTGTTTAAAGTAAGAACAGTATTCTGTTGTTTTCTGTTTTTGCTGTTAGAAAAATGGAAAATATTACTACCAGTACTTGAATTTGTGTTGCCACACTGCAAAAACACAAATGTTTCCAAATATTCTTGGTCTAGTTTCTAGTGTAAGTATCGTAGTGCACTAAAAATAAGACCAAATGTACAAGTAACTTTTCTTAATTCCTCAATGTTGATGAAAAAGTTGCAGCTCCATTGGCAGATTATTTCCCTTAACATGGGAAAAATGTCTTTAAAAATATACATTTTCATCACTGCTTAATCAGCTTAGAGTGATAATGAAACAATGTTGAGTCTACCAAAACAGTCAAACTCACTGATTAACAGCTTTAATGCTAATCAATCAGCTGCTAAAGTTAGCATGCTAACACTAACATTCTCCATTTATGTAGTCAAGGCTACAACTGTAAAACATCTGTTTGTACAAGATGGCCTAAATCCTCGATATGTTGGTATAAGTGAAGCTGAAGTCTTTAATTATGTAACTGAATAAAGTACAACAAGGAATTTAAGGGATTAATCCACATTTGTGCATTAAAATCTGCCATCAGTTTGATGAAGATTAAATATTATATCAGAATGTTTTCAACCGAAAATAGGAAAATTATTCTGTTTATTGCTTCTGATTGGTTCCACATTCTGTTGGTGTTTCATTTATTAGATTTTTAACTGTGTCCACATAATAAAACAAGCAGTCCCCCATATACTTTCTTCTCTATTTTTTGTATCATTTTGTTTTTTGTCAATGAGCCCCACCCAGCAGTCATCCCGCCCCTCATGTGTCTCTTATCTGACTGGTCCGGGGGTCTCTGAGTCCTCTTGTCGCTCCATCAAGCAGTCATGTTCATCCTAATCCCCGCCTCTTTTCCTCTAATTTATCCTATCACAGCTCAGCCCCCCTGCGCTCTCCTCCAATTACACGCAGACATCTCTGTGAGTCAGAGTTGCCTTGGCAACAGGCCAGGGTTTTCCTGTTTATTTGGGGTTTTATTTGCCTCTGCTCTCTTTTTTGTTCCTCCTTCGTCTCCCTGGATCGTTTTTTTATCTTCCCAGCAAAGCAGATGACGTCTTTAAAACAAAAAAAACATAAATAGGAAGCAAAGGTTGGACAAAGTAAAAAAATGATGCTGGGGATCCAAATGTGCAGAGAGTATTTGGTTTGGGGCGACTGCTGATCAAAAACAAAAATCTTAAGAAGCTGGATGTGAAAGAAATAAAAATTTGGAAAATAAAACCTCTAAAGTAGAAACAAGAAGTAAAATAGTATAATTGGGGTAGGCCTGTCACAATGCCAAATTTTAATGGAACATAAATTTGGGCTGCAACTAACGATTATTTCTGATGATTAATCAATTAATCGGATAAAAAATATTCTGCATATTTTTAATTCAACCACTGAAGCCTTTTTATACAATGTTAGAAGATGCAAATAAACTAGTCAAGTACTTTTTAAAAAAGAAAATGAACATGTTATTGGCTGAAATGCAGAAACAAAACATTCCTTTACAGAATTTGAAGCAGGTGAAGCTAAAACTGACACTTATGGTATTTTTTTTTTTTTATTTTAAATGCAAAAATGTAGAAATTTTTGTACAGTTTTAGTTTAGTTACTGCTCTGACTGTGTTCTTCTCTAATCAGTTTTTTTGTTTGTTTTCTCCAGTTAATGATTAATTAATCACTAAATTAGTTGACAATTATTCCAATAATTGATTAATCAGATTAATCAGATTAATCATTTCAGCTCTGGATAAATTGTCCAAGAAATTCTTGCAACAAACAATAACACTGTCATTTTGAGACCATTTGAAACTAATATAATAATGATAATGACATAAATGCAGGTATAGCCTCTCAGAAACAAAAACGTTTCACACTGGAACTGGAAAACATTTTAAATATGAAACAAACAAACAGTCAAAACAACAATGATAAAAAAGTTATTATGAAGTTTCAGTAACCAAAATTGCATTAAAGAAATAATAATAATAATCCAGCTTTGACAGGGAAAACAGGCAAAAGTGGCAGGCAGTGCAAACTAAATATTTTGCAATAACTATTGTTCAAATGGAAATTATTGTGTTCATTTAAATTTATCCTGTGATTAACTGATATATTGTTTATGGTAATAGGCTTAGTTTGGGGTCAATAAAAATGTTTAAAATAATAAAACATGGAACATTTAAAAGAGAAAACATAAGTAAACACGGTTTCATGTGTTGCTTGGTTGTGTTGCTTAATTACTGTCCTGGAAAATGGCCGTCAAAGTAGCATAAAAAAGATATTTCCTCTTACAAATCTACATTTCCTCCAACAGGTTTGTTTATGTGGCCAGACAAAAGGTTCAGAAACCTGTTAAATAAACAAATACAACAAAAACACACAAATAGCAGAAGTTAACAAACCAGACTTATTAAGCAGATTAAAAGATTACGCTCCCAAATTCCATGAAGAGGAAAATAAGTCACCGCCAGGCTCCTTAAGGGCTGTTTGTGGATTTATGAGAACTAAACAAACCCACAGGGAATAAACATGAATCAGCTGTTGAGCCCCAACAGTCGCTCTGTTTCATATCTGCCTCATATTTCAGTCCCATTTGAATATACAGTATGATGCAAATCACTACCAATGTAACGATTAATCAGATACATCGCGATTAATTGATTATTGAAATAATCGTGAACTAATCGATTAGTTGTCACAATAATTGATAGAATAAAGTTATTACTAAAATTGCAGCGCTGGTAATACTTCAACTTTGTTTTTTAATGAACAAAGATGACTTATATTTTGTCTTAAAGTTGACTTGAATTCAAAGTCACAATAAATAAAAGCTGCAAAATATTTCAACCAAGATGGCCGCCCTGACATCACTATGGAAACCAAAGGATTCCTTTTTCAGACTTTTCAAAAAATGAAATCTTCATAAAACCAAAAATTTGATAAAACTGCCCAGCTGCGGTGTTCCAGTTTATCGTCTATAGTTCACGAAGAGCATTTCTAAATATGTCTGATTCTCCACAGATTCGAACAAAGAAGAGCACCAGGACGCCTCCAGGCGGCAGGGTCCTCTCCCCGACCTGCTTCCCCAGAACGAGCACTCATCCTGGGACTCGCCGCCCCAGCAGCTGGGCGTCGGCGGAGAGGCGGCGCAGCAGCTGGACGTGATCAGGGTGGCCGGCCAGCTCAGGATGATTGGGGACCAATTCAACGCCATGATTCTCCACAGAGCGGTAGGTCAACCCAGAATATGAGCGTAAAGTTTTCTTATTGCTCTTGAACGCACCACGGTTGATTTTTTCTTTCATGCAAACAGACAAATATCTCAACAGGCTAGTTTGTCTCTGCTTGGGTAAAGTGAGTTTGTGTTCCTGTTTCTATGGAAACAGATTTGTGAGAGTGAATCAGTTTCTTTTGCTCGGTGTTTTATCTTTTATTCCTTGTTTTGTTCCACAAAAATCCATGAAAATGCTTGAATTTCAAAAAGGTGTTTTCAAAGTTTAGAAAGTGCTGAATATTCAAACTACACAGTTTTCTAATAAAAGGAAAATATTAATTACGCCTAATAAAAAGATACAAAATAAAATTTTCTCTCATCGTCTGATGTTAAATTAAACTAAACTTTTTTTAGATTAGTTATAATAACTAATGTTATTCTATTTGCCAAGCGACAGAAAGCAGAACAATATTAGGGATTTTGTTGTTAACTTTATATTTTGTGTTTAAGCATTTAATTTGAGCAGGAAGGTAATTTACCTTAACATGATTTATTTGTATTGTTTCGATTTTCTGAATATTTATTATAACTAATGGCTCAATGACTTATTAATTATCTTATATTTTAGGACGATATAACTGAAAACTTATCTCACTATAAGTGCTTCATATCAGTCTATCAATAATTATTGATTCATTTTTTGTTTTAAGTATCTAAAATGTTGTCAAACTGGTTTCGTGATCTTTCCATGAAATTTTTACTTCGTGTTTTTTTAAGCAGCTAGGAGGCGCAGTTACTCAGCAGGTCGTTGCTAGGCAACCGAAGTTGCCTAGGGGGGAACTTGAAACTTCTTGCTCCCCAGCCGGTGGTTGCTAGGTAACCAAAGAGCGAGTGAGTTAGTAGACTCCACCAACCAAGTTTAGTTAACCATGAGAGGTTGAGCAGCTAAAGCTTTTCCTCTGCATTCATACTGATTATTGAATATTCTACCAGAGCTATTATCCATTGATATTGATTAAGTCTCTATTGCAATATATATTTTTATTGATTTCTTGTTATTTTAAACATCATTATGGAAATTGGTGGATTTTCTTTTGTTGTATTAGAGTTTTGTTCACAGACCAATCTGGTATTTTGGTTTTTCAAACATAACATTTTGCTATATCTTAGTTTCCTAGAATTCTATCAAAAGACTATTAACAACAGTAATAAATTAAGGCACATAATAGTGATTTGTAATTGTCTTTTTGTGGTTATTTTGTATTGTTTTTATCTCTAAAGTCTTGCTGGAAAAGTTTGACATCTTACATTGAAAATGCTTGAATTGTAAAAGTGTTAAAAACCTGGAAAATCTTCAAATTTGCCTCTTTGTTCTATCTGCTTTGCTTTCCCTCTTTTTGTTTTCTTTATTTGCATCATTCTCAGTAAGTTCATTCTCCTTGCAAAACAACCAACAATTAACTTTTGTCACAACAGAAAGCAATTTTAAGCAGGTTTTATGGTAAAGCTAAAGGCAGTAGTGTAGCAGTCACTGCTTTCCCTCAGGATGCCTGTCCTGTCTGTTATTTCCTTATCGCTCTCCTCCCTCCCTCTCTTTTCTTGCTGTTTTCGATCGCGTGAGGAGTTGCCGCTCGCCCTCCTCCTCCCGCTTTGTGCACATAAACAAAGCTGACGTCATCCTCGCTCGGCTCTCGCTTCACCCGCCGCGCCCGGCTCGTCTCTCTCGCTCTGTCTGCTGGGGAAAATAATGAAAACCTGTGTGCAGCTTTTTTCTTTTTTCTAAACGAGCGGCTTGAAAGAAAAGAAAGGAGTCTGTTAGCAGGGCGGTCAAACCTGCTCTGCTCCATCTCCAGACCCAGGTTCAACCAGCTCATTTAGTATGAAACTTACCAGTTTATACCCAAACTGGTAAGTTTCATACCAGTTTGGGTAACTTATTCATTGTTTCATACCCGACCAGCTCATTTGTTACTGCAAAGTCCACAGAAACATGTAAACAAACAAAGCCATCATAAATCCTGCAGTTGTTTTTCTGCTCTGTCCCAGATCCCCAACATAAAGTTTCTCAAGAAAAGTCTTGTTGGTTTTCTCAGTAAAGAATTGGAAGCAAATTTTACCTTTTGTGACAGAATGAGCTTAAAGATTAGACTTCAAACGTAAAGATAAAACTGGTTTCCCTTTAATTTTAGAGTCAATTTCATAAAAAATGTGACTGACTGAATGGAAAGTTTAAAGAACTATTTCAGTGCACTATGTTTAATTGGGTTGGTTTGATCAGTTTAATAAAGATTTTCAGGTCTACTTTCACTGAACTTATGTTGAATTTATGTTTCATTATTTGTGCATTTTGCATGTAATATACCAGATATATGCTATTTATTAACTGCAGATGTGCTACTTTCAACAACATAAAATGATCAGATATGATCAGCCCTCCACACCAAGGAAATGCAAAAGCAGCTGGTAATGACACAGTGGAGGTCGATTTAAAAACCTGCTGGTTTCTCAGTGGCTGTGTCTTTTTAGGTGACAGGCCAGCAATGCAGGGAAAGGGCAGCAGCTTTAAAATGGAGGGCACACTTCTGCTAATGCGCCAATAGCGGAGTTAATTTTTTGTTTAGCACTAAAAGTCAGAAATTTGATGATATATCAGACTGAAATAAAAAGTGTCTGTATTGGTGAAACTCACCCTGTATTTACTGGGTATCGGGTATATAGCAAGTAAAAAGCAGCTTGTGATTATCTCCATGTAACTGCATAAATTTGTATCAGCGTTCTATTTTTCTAGGGTGTGTTTTCTGACTTTACATCTCTCTGTCTCGCAGCACATCGCCCCCCAGTGGCAGGACTGGAGAGAGGTCTGCCTGGGATTCCTGGACTTTATCGCCCAATCACTCAGCACTCTCTACCGGCTGACGTAGAGCTACGATCCGGACCTTTTCCTGCCATCTGGGCCGAAACGTTCTGTTGCTAATGGGTCGCCAGACTGTCAGTCACCTCATGGATCAGATTGGCCCGTCAGAACCGGACCTCTCCCGTCAGTCAGCGCTGCTGCACACTGCAGCCGCTGGACTGGACGGATGAACTTCTTGTTTATTTTGTAAAATATATATATATATATATTTGTTTTTGTCCTGTCTCGGGGGGCTAGGTCTTTGTGAAATAGCTGGAGACTTGGGCCAAACTTTGTTTTCTGTGGTGCTGAGAACATTCACTGAATAAACACAAAATTCTACTGAGTATTTTCATGTAAACATCGTAGCATTCTTCAAATAAGACAAGACTAACTTACAAGTAACTTTTCTACAACATATAGGAACTTGTTTTAAATCAGTATTTCCTCAATATTGATTTTAAAAAGTACTAGTTCCTCTCGCAGATTATTTGACTTGTATCCAGACCAGTGGAACTAGAGCTGGGTTGCTAGGTAACGGAGTAGGCCTGGCTGGGGTTGCCAGGTAACGGTGCAGCGCTGTTGATTGAGAAATAATCTGCCAGTGGAACAAATACTTTTTCATCAACATTAAGGAATTACTGACTTAAAACATGTTTATTTTAAGTTAGTTTTGTCTTATTTCAAGTTTACTATTTGCAGTAGAAACTAGACTAAGACACTTGGCAAGATTTTGTGTTTTTGCAGAGTACTGGAGTAATTTGTAGCACGAAGGACCCAAAAACTTGAAGTATTCATTTTAATAACAAGTTATTCTTAAACAAAGGTTGAAATCTCAGAATAAACCATTTTTCCAGTTTTAGTAACAAAATCTACATTCAAAATGTCCTTGAATTCAAAAAGACATTCTTCAACTACATGTTTAAAACATGAAATCTTACCAAGTATTTCTGATTTTTGTTCTACTTTCTTGTGGAAATATTTTAGCACACAAAACTCACTTACAAGTAACGTTTTAGCCAGATGTAGGAGCTTGTTTTAAGTTAATAATTCTTTAATATTGATTAAAAAAAGGTACAAGCTCCATTGGGAGATTTTCATTTATAACATGGGAAAAATATTTTGTCATAAGTGAAACTAGAACTTTTTCATCAATATTAAAGAATTAATTACTTACAACAAGCTCCTACATCTTGCTGAAACATTACTTGTAAGTTAGTTTTGTCTAATTATATTTGCACTAGAAACTTGGTAATATTTTGTGTTTTTGCAGTGCAGCTGTGAATTCAGCCTTCACAAGCATTAAACTTCCCTTTAACTACGCCGTTTTTTACTCTGCAACCCGTGTTCTCATTAAAAAAAACAAAGAAACTGTGAAAGCGGACGCTGAGGTTGCATTTGCAGGGAATTTTTGGGTGCAAATCCACTTTGGGGCGAAGCACGGACCTGCTTCTCTTCGCCACTTCAACGTGCCTTCCTCCCTCCAGGCTCACCTCCAACACGACGACAATCAGCGTTGTGCTTGTTTTTTGCAGTCACCGAACCTGAGAGCAATTTGCATTAAACTAAAATGTCCCTCAGTTCTGGCTGGCAGGTTGTTTACAGTGTTCTTAGTCCCTCAATTTACTGTAAATAGTTTATTTTGAAGATGAATTTAAGTTATCCAAGAAGTAGATGGAATTTAAGATGACTTGTGTTGATTTTTTTATTCCCAAGTGGATTTGAGAAGGTATTTAACGAGCAGCAGGAAGAAAATTTGAATTCTTGTAAACATGACCCCACTGTTTTTCTTTTTCTACTGTGTGAAGCCGAAGAGAAAATGTGTAATTTATTTTGGAAAAATCTGTAGCATTTTTATTTGTTTTCTATGATGATGTATTTATTTTTCTACCAACTGAGACTCAAAATGTTTGAGTTGCTGTCGCACACACTGGCGATGGAGAAATCACTTTTTGATTTGGAAAATTAGTTCCACAAAAATAAAACAAAACAGGAAAAAGCTTTGACATTGGGACGTTCCAGCTTTGATGTGTGCTTTGAAAGGTACTGAAAAAGACAAAGAGGTAGAAATCAGGCGTCGCAGCTTTAAAAACGACTGAAAATAAATCAGGTTTTGCTGTAAATTGGACTTTCCAGTTCTGAACGGGTTAAAAAGTTTCATGTATGTACTGTAGCATACTCCAGATTCACGTTTACTGGAATATTTAAACTTTTAATTCAGGAATATCCATCGTTTCTCACTCATTTGTTGGGTTTGTTAGATATGGACCAAGCCTGCTCTTTTCCTGAAATCAGATTTCATCATAAGACAGAAAAAAGAAAAGAAAATGAGCACTTCTTGATTTGATACCGTTTATCCAACAGTGGAACAAACAAAGTTGTATTTTGCCGTTTTTCAGCTTTTTTCTATTGTAAAATTTCTACATGGATTTTGTACTTTTTCCTTTTTATACAGTAAAGATAAGAATTTAAAAAAATCTTGTTTGGTGTTTTTCTTTTAATCATAGTGGGGAGTTTTATATCAAGTTTATTTGTAAAGCACATTTCAGCAACAATGCAGCTCAAAATGCTTTATATCAAAAAACATAAAACAGTAACCAATTATGAAACAAGTAGTAAATATTACATTTTGTCAAACGCTCTCATCAAAAATAATCAAATACTTTGATCAATGTCCAGTTACTATGAATCGAATCAGCTCTAAATAGGTGGCGTTTTAGCCGTGTTTTAAAGCAACTCAGTGTCTTGGCTGTAATGCAGTTTCCTGGAAGTTTGTTCCAGATTTGCGGTGCATAGAAGCTGAATGCTGCTTCTCCATGTTTGGTTTTTTAGGCAGACGTGTTAAGACACTGTGACTAAAGATAAATGCATGGATGAGTTTCTCTAGATCGTTCTTTCTGTAATCCTGGAAATGTTGTTCAGGTGACAGAAGGCCAACTTTGTAACCATTTTTATGCGTCTCTGAAGGTTCATGGTTTTCTATAATGTTCTTCATGTTATGCACCACCAACTCAGAGAGTCCAGAGTTGTCCCTAAAACAGAACCAGCCTTCTTTATCAGGTTGTTGAGCCTTTTTAGATGACGCTCTGAACAACAGATTTATAGAAGCTCTGCAGCATCTTGAGCATCAGTGGTTGGGTGGACGCTTACAGTCTGCGTTGTGGTCCATGTCGTGCTTTTAGAGCTGTCTCTGGTCCGCTTGGCGTTCACAAATACATTCAAACTGAACCAGAGTTCAATTCTACTCAAACAAGATCAAGGTTTGTAGGCAGACCAGAGTTAGCTTTTTTGGTCTGATTACACATGCATGCCTCCCCAAACAAGCTGGACTTTCTACACCAACGGACTGGAGTTTGATTAGGCTGGTTTAGTCCATTTTAATCCAACTCCAGTCCGTTTGTCTAGAAAGTCCAGTAAGCTTGGGGAAGTGTGAATGCGCAATCAAACTCTGGTCAACTAAACGTTTCTGTCGGTTCGGCTGAAGTGAACTCTGGTGTGAACACCAAGCAGATTTGAGATCGCTCCAAAAGCAGGAAGTGGACTACAGTGCAGGGCATTCTGGGTAAATACAACCAAAACAAATTTGCTAGCCTAGCACGTGGGAGTAATGGCTCATGTTCTTCAGCCAAAAACAAAAGAGAAATCCTATAGCCGCTAAAATCTGACGCTACTCCATTTTGTTTACATTTTGTGAAATGAGCAAGGTTTTTGTGTCGTTTTCTTCAGTGGTTTTGTTGCAGCGCCCCTACAGGTGAGGAGGGGAACATGTTGCTCAATTAGTTTGAATTGTTTGTGAGAAAGCGAACCTAGCAGCTGGAAATGTAACAAATGTTGCCACTTTGGTTGCCAACAGGTGGAAAAACACCTTTAAAAAGTGTATGTAGATTTATTGGTGCTCACCTAAAAACCACACAATCTGGCTCCATGTTTACGGCTGAGAACCAAAACAAGACCTGAAATAAAACTAGTGGAGCGATTAGTCAGTTCGGAGCACCGCTGCTCATTTCCTGGGATTAGGAAAGGAGATTAATTACAAAATCCCTCCTTAAGCTCATCCTGTCTGCTTAATTACTCCTAAACTCTTTTCTGCTAGGAGACAAACTTGTTCAGACAACATTAAACTTCAGGTTTCTTTAATTCAACCCAAGTCTCTCTCAGAATAGCTCTCATTCTCTGTTGTTTTCCAGTTATTATTTCTTCTTCTTATAATCCAATCAGATGCCCCTGCTGCGTGGTCACTCTCTCTTCCCGCTGCAGCCAATCAGAACGTTGGCTCTGCCCCGGGGAGCCGTGTGATTGGCTCATTCTGAGGTTTAACTGGGGATACTGGTTCCCAGAGCTGCCTGTTGACTCAGTAACAGGACCAGCCGGTGAATCACAGACAAGAAATAAAAACTGGAGTATCCTGTTTACAACCTGAAACAATCATTTTTTTCTAAAAATATTAGATCAAGAATTCGTTCTTTACTGCGTTTTATAGCCTCACCAGACGAGTGAATACTGTTTGCTTTTAGAGAAATATTAAGCTAGTTTTATTAGACAGGAATTGAAGTGAACAGGAGCAGAGGTCAACTCTGTCCTCATGTTAACACAGATAACATTAAAAAGCCCCTTTTGTGTGTTTTATCAACCACAAACCTCTGAGATGGAAAGTAAATAACAAAACTTTCCTAAGAGCAAAGCCCTGAGCCAATCAGATGAGCATGAGTAATGGAAAAAACTATCTTAGCTTTTAACCATAAACCTTTACTCTTCTTCCTCAGGTTTAAAGCACACTCTGCTTTGTACTGTTTTATTCTTTGCTCTTTTTGCAATAAAATCAAAAAGGAAAAAGTTAAAAGTGGTAAATGTACAGTTTAAAAAACCCCCAACATTTTGTGTAAAAGTGTAATATTTCTTACCAGTCGTATCAGAAAGTTTAACAGCCATTTTACAAAGATTTACACTGTAAAACACATTTTACTTGGTGTTTTTCATCTAGTTTCTAATGCAAATCTCTTAGTTCACTTGAAATAAATCAAAACTAACAACTGAAATTGTTGAAAGTAACTTTTCAGTTAGACGAGTTTGTTTTATGTAAATAAAAAGTTCTAGTCATGAGTGAAATAATGTCCAAGTGGAACACAGACATTTTAACTTTTAATATGGCATCATGTAATTTAACGCTTTAATGAGGCCAGTCTCAGCGCTGTGGTAACCATGGAAACCGAACTGAAAGACCTCAGAGCGACTGCTTAACGGCTGTTCTCATGTGACGTCAAACTGTAACCGACAGACATTTTGGCAGGCAGTTGCTATGACAACAAGCAAGTCACAAGGTTAGAAACTGGCTCTCGCCTTGTT